TTGAACCGCCAGCCTTCTGGTTAGCGGTCAAATGCCTTAGGCACTACCCATTTAGAGACCATTTAAAGAACAGATTTGATGCACTGAACATCAATGATCAAAACCCAGAGGAATTGTGAGATGACATCAAGAACATCATCCATGAAGAAAGCAAAAGATCATTAAAAAGACAGAAAAGGAAGAAAAGACCAAAATGGATGTCAGAAGAGACTCTGACACTTGCCCTTGAACGGAGAGTAGCTAAAGCAAACGGAAGAAATGACAAGATAAAAGAGCTAAACTGAGATTTCAAAGAGCAACTTGAGAAGACAAAGTCAATTATTATAATGAAATATAAAAAGACATGGAGTTGGAAAGCCAAAAGGGAAGAACATGCTCAGCATTTCTCAAGCTGAAAGAACTGAAGAGGAAATTTAAGTCTTGAGTTGCAATATTGAAAAGGTCTATGAGCAATATATTGAATGACGCAGGAAACATCAAAAGAAGACAGATGGAATACAGAGTCACTGTACCAAAAATAATTGGTTGATGTTCATCCGTTTTAGGAGGTGGCATATGATCAAGAACCAATGGTATTGAAGGAAGAAGTCGAAGCTGCACTGAGGGAAGTGGTGAAAAACAAAGCTCCAGGAATTGACAGGATACCCATTGAGATGTTTCAACAAAGAGATGCCACACTAGAGGCACTCACTTGGCTATGCCAAGAGATTTGGAAGACAATTACCTAGCCAGATGACTGGAAAAGATACATATTTGTACCCATTCAAAGAAGGGTGATCCCACAGAATATGGAAATTATCAAACTATATCATTAATATCGTACATAAGTAAAATCTTACTGAAGATGATTCAAAAAACGGTTATAGCAGTATATTGACAGAGAACTTGCAGAGGAGGATGTGGAATGAGGGATATCATTGCTGATGTCATATGGATCTTGGCTCAAAGCAAAGAATACCAGAAACATGTTTACTGTGTTTTATTGAGTATGCAAAGGCATTCGATTGTGTGGATCATAACAAATTATGGGTAACATTGAGAAGAATGGGAATTCCAGAATACTTAATTGTGCTCATGAGGAACTTGTATATAGACCAGGAGGCTGTCATTCAAACAGAACAAGGGGACAGTGCATAGTTTAAAATCAAGAAGGGAGTGCATCAGGGTTGTATACTTTCACCACACTTATTCAATCTGCATGCTGAAAAAATAATCTGAGAAGCTGGACTATATGAAGAAGAAAGTGGCATCAGGATTGGAGGAAGAATCATTAACAACCTGCGTTATGCAGACGACACAACTTTGCTTGCTGAAGGTGAGGATGACTTGAAACACTGATGAAGATTGAAGAATACAGTCTGCAGTATGGATTATACCTCAATATAAAGAAAACAAAAATCCTCACAATGGGACCAATAAGCAGCATCATGATAAATGGAGAAAAGATTTAAGTTCTCAAAGACTTCATATTACTTGGTTTTACAATTAACAGCAATGGAAGCAGCAGTCAAGATATCAGACATCATATAGCATTGGGCATATCTGTTGCAAAGGACCTCTTTCAAGTGCTGAGGAGCAAGGATGTTTCCTTGAAGACTAAGGCTCACGTGACACAAGCCATGGTATTTTCAATAGCCTCATATGCATGTTAGAGCTGGACAATGAATAAAGAAGAATGAAGAAGAGTTGATGCTTTTGAGTTGTGGTGCTGGCGAAGAATGCTGAAAGTATCATGGACTGCTGAAAGAACTAAACAGGTCTGTCCTGGAGGAAGTGCAGCCAGAATGCTCCTTGGAAGCGAGAATGGCCAGACTTCGTCTCACTCACTTTAGTCATATTGTCAAAAGGGACCATTCCCTGGAGAAGGATGTCATGCTTGGTCAGGTGGAGGATGGACCAAAGAGGAGAAGACCCTTAAGCAGATGGACTGACATGGTGGCAGCGTCCATGGGCTCAAGTATAGCAAGAATCGTGGAGTTGGCTCAGGACCAGGCAGTGTTTCCTTCTGGTGTACATAGGGTCGCTATGAGTCAGAGACGACTTGAGGGCACCTAACAACAACAAGAAAATGCGTTATATATTTTTTACATTGTAACATCTTTGAAATGGGATGCTAAACAATGGCTTCTTAGAATGTATAAAATAAAATATCATTTCCGGAAAGCTTTGGTCTGGAGAATAATTCCTCATCCCCTTCAACTGTCCAATCCATTGCGTGAATAGACTTACTTTTTACTTTCATTACTTTCCTGACTTTCTGTAGGTCCCTTCTGTGGCCCTCTTCCGGCAGATGTAATTTTTGCATGCGTGGCGTCTCCAGACAATACGGGCAAGTGGCGGCAGCACTCGGGAGTTTACGGCGGCGCGACGCCCACGCGGTCCGGGTAGCCGAAGGGAAACCGGCGCGTCCCCGCCCGGCTGGTTGTCAGCTGATGAGCCGCCAGCGGCCGAGGCTGCCGCTGCCGCCGCCGCCGCCGCCGCGCGAATATGGCGGCCGAGATCCACTCCAGGCCGCAGAGTAGCCGCCCGGTGCTGCTAAGCAAGATCGAGGGCCATCAAGACACCGTCACGGCCGCGCTGCTCATCCCCAAGGAGGACGGCGTGATCACAGCCAGCGAGGACAGGTAGCCCCGGCGGGTTGTGTGCGGGGCCTGGGCCGACGGAGGCAGCCGGCGCTGGGGTCCGCCACTGGGCGTGGAGCAGCGTGATCCGCGACCCGACCCTCTCGCGTGGGGGCGCCCCCGGCCCTGGTGATACTCTGTCGCGCGCCCCCTATCGCGCCCCTCTTGCTGTGAGGGCCTCAGAGCTCACCCCTTCTTGGAAGCCCTCCATCCCGGGACGCCCACCGCAGGCCCTCCGTATGACCATCTCCCCTGCCCAGCCCCTGGGCCCGGAACCCCCTCCTGTGTCGCGCCCCTTTGGGCAGAGCCCCCATCCCGTTCCATCATCTTGGGACCTCCGCGGCGTGCCGTCCCTCTACTCTGGCACCCCCACCCCGAGGCCTTCAGACCCCGCCTCCCGCTACGCTCCTTCCGGGAATTCCAATGCGCTCTTCCCTCCCGGGGCGCCCCCTGGAGCCCTCGAGTCCCGACCTTCGCCCCGCCGCGGTCCTCTGTTCCGGGACGCCCGCCTCTATAATGTGGGACTTCCAGTCCGCTGCTTCCCTCCAAGTAGCTGAGGACCCCAATGCACCCTCCTGCCCAGGACCCCCGCTCCTGCGCACTGCCGCGGTCCCCATTCTCTGTCGCGACCCTCCAGCTCGAGAGCCCCTCGGGGGGCCTTTCAGTCTAGATCTCCGCCCCGCTGTGCTCCCCTATCCCGGGCACCTCCAACCTTCTCCAGCCCAGGCTATCTGTCCCATCGGCCCCTCCGCCCAGGACCCCAGTATTTGTTGTGGGCTTCCCGCCTGAGACCTCAGCCCCAGGCTACTTCTTTGTGGGGTGTCACCTGCCACCGGGAAGGGCAAGACCTCAGGTTGGAGGTTGTGTGTGTGGGGTTAACCCTCTTCGAGTTGGATCCAACCTATGTCTGTCCTTGCCCCTCAGCTGGGAGGAGCAGTGGCTTGTTGTTGTCATTGTCATGTGCCAGGCTAGTTACCTAAGTCCTCCTAACTGGAATTCCGTCCTTCTCTATAAATGCCCAGTTCTTGGTCCTTGCTTCTACAGGCTTTCTTCTTCCTCTGGGGTTTACATCTTTATTTCCCCAAATAGGAGGCCCCTGGACCAGTTATTTTTACCGCAGCTGCTAGACCCACCTGAACTCTTGTTTCCTAAATGGTGACTCACATTTTTCAAAACTTAAATACGTTTACTTGAAAAGTAAATATTCTGTCTCCAACATTAATGGGAAACCATATCCCTTGCCGTAAACGAGTAACTATTAAAGTAGAAGTCAATCTGTGTGCACTTAAAACATCTCACACTGAATGTCTGTCACACTGTAGGAAACACTGATCTCATCCAGTTTTCTCATTTTACCCAAGAGGAAGCTGAGGCCGGTGGAGTGAAGCTGGTTACTCTAAGTCAGAGAAGCCAGAAATGCGATCCAGGACTCCCCACCTCGGCTCTCTGATCTTCCCACGGCAGGATCACTGGACTGGAGCCGTATTTTCACTTGTTTTAAAACTTTAGACTTTTAAAACCTTACAGGTTTAAAACTTTAGTGGCCTTACTGTGGGAATTTGGAGGAAATAACTAGCTATTGACCGGAACCATATTTCCTTGGTATAATTTATGGCCTTAAATGCTGATAACTCCAAAAGTTGAAAGGCTTTCTGGGTGAAAGGTACAACTTTTCTCTTAAAGCCTAAGGGATAGTCCCACTTTTTGTTGTTGTTAGGTGCCATTGAGTTGGCTCCAACTCATAGCAAACCCACCATGCACAACAGAACGAAACACTGCCCGGTCCTGCGCTACCCTCCCAATCCTTGCTACACCTGAGCCCGTTGTTGCAGCCACTGTGTTAATCCATCTAGTTGAGGGTCTTCCCCTTCTTTGCGGACCCTCCATTTTACCAAGCATGACATCCTTCTCCAGGGAATGGTTCATTCTGGGTCCCTTTTGGGATCATGTATACATTTATAATTTATTTTATTTTTGTTGAGAAAAACACAGGACAACATACACCAATTCAGTAATTTCTTCATGAACAGCTCAGTGACATTGATTACGTTCTTGAAGTTGGAATCATGTATTTTAGAGTAAGTCACACTGACTGAGGGCCTGCCCTGAATGGGAAGGGAAAACCTAAAGCCTCCTTTTTCTGTAGGACCTTTTGTATTTTATTTTTGTTTTCATGTCTTTTCCCCAGCTCGTTTGTGAGCTTTTGGTGAGCAGTGGCCTCTGCCTGACTGTTTCTGCGTAGCTGACCTGGAACAACGACGGGGAGTGGTTGTGGACCTGAGTGCCGGTGTGTGTGAGCAGGAAGGGAGGGGGAGACAGGAGTTCTGGAAAAAGGCAAAGGATAATTAAGATGCAAGCAGCGTGTTATAAAAGTTAGCAGTCTTTATTTAGTAAACTATTCATGATTCATGCCTAATGGGTCAGTTACTGAGTATCTGAGATTACTGGCTGGAAGTGGTGCTGATGAATGCTTTATGGAAAGTGATTACTTAGCTGCTCTGGGACTGAAATATTCTGAGGGAGCCTTAGATCAGCTCATGTCTTCACTTGGGCGCTACTGTTCCTGCTTTGCCCTGGCATATAACTGGGCAGAGCGACGGCTGACACCTTGGGTTTCTAACTTGTATTTTAGGTCCATGGAACCTCCTTGAACTTAGGACAGTATTTTAGCAGGTCCTACACTTTGTGGGATTGAATGAGAAAAAAAACCAGGCTGTGGTTTTGGTGGTTTGTTTTTATGTTGTCACAAATGTTATAAATGTGTATGGATCCCTTTCTCCTCTCCCTGCATCCCTTTCTCCCTTCAGAAATGCTACACACATCGAGTGTCAGGCCCTGGAGATACACAGAGATCAAAAACCACAGTACCTGCCCTCCTACGACTTCTGAGGCATTTGTTTATGTGTTCAGTGGGAGACACGCCTTAGGTGCTACAGTCTGTTTGGCTGTAATCTTTATGGAACCCGCTCGCGAGGCCTAGATCTTCCACCGTACTGCTGGGTGGGTTCAAACAGGCAACCTTTGGGTTACGGGCAGAGTGCAGACCATCTGTGCCACCCAGGGACCTTCCTCGTATAACGTCTGATTCACTGTTTTTTGTGGCTTCTGACCTGATGAAACCAGTGTGTCTGAGGGACTGAAAACTGACTGCCCTTATTTGTCCACTCCTCAGAAGGCAGGTTGGGTAATCTACTTCCATAGTGATACTGCCTCGGAAAGCCAAGGAGGAGTCGCCCTGAGTCAGATTCGACTTGTCGGCGGTGCGTTTGGTTTTGGTTTGGTATTCATCCAACAAGCATTTACTGGATACTTGTCATGTGCTGATCCTCGTGCTAGATTGGTGGGAAAAAAAGATAGCTGACACTGAGTCGCTGTTTCCAAAGGACTGGACAGCAGTGAAGAGATGCCTGGGCACTCTGCGTCACAGGCCAGAGGTGAAGTCCCCTTAGTCAAGGAGAGCTTCCAGAGGGGATGCCGTTGGATCTGGTCTTGGTGGGTGGAGGAGTGGTCTGTGGAGGAAGCAGGGATGAACGTGCCTGTTCCTGGCAGAAGGAAAGGCTGGGGTGGGGAGAATATCGAAGGGGTAAGGAACCACAGTTACTTGGAGGTGATTGGAGCCAAAGGTGGCTCGGAGGTGTGGCAGGAGAGAGGAATAAAGCGCTGGGAGGTCCATGTCCAGTTTGGGAAGGGCCTTCCTCATATGCCACACTTAAGAATTTGACTTGTGTCTTGCAGCACTGAGGAAGTATCAAAGAGTTCAAAGAAGGCAAATGACGTGATCAGAGTGTGTACTTTAGAAGTAACAATAGTTAACTTTTTGATCAACTTCCAAAAGTCTGCCAGTGTAACCCTAGGGATCGCAGTGGGCTGATCCTGTCTTGCATGGGCTTGATTTCCTTGACTGTGGCTTCCTTAAGGGAGCGTCTTCTTCTGTGTGGATGCAGAGTGCCCAGGGCCATCTCGTCACTGACTCAAGGCCCCCACCAACAACAACCTTTGGAGACCCCTTCTCTCTACCACTACACAGTTAGACCACAGTATGTTAGGACATCCAATCCACATATCCTCCCATAAGGTAGATACATACCGTCCCGCTGTCCTTACCAGCAGTTCCAAAATTCAGTACATTCTAAAAGTCTGACATTTTGTTTTTCTCAAAACTGGGCCTGAAAATTCATTTGCTGCTAAAACTTGACCTGAACAGATGACATGTTTTATGGTCCTGATTTGTCTCATGCAGTGTGAATATTCACCCATCTTATTGCAGACATAGCAATGTGTTTAATTGCAGGTGTGGTCCCAGGCCCTGCTGGGGAGTAATAGGAAATGTATGTGCATTATATTGTGACTGTCACTTGACAGGTCAGGAAACTGAGGCACAAAAGCCATTGAAGCAGCTTCCTTAGGTCTTGTGGCTAATAAGTGATAGGACTGAGGTTTGAACCCACATCTGACTCTGAGGCTCTCGCTTTTTCCATCGTGCACCTCATCTCTCTGTTCATTTGGAAAAACTGAGTCCTGGCAGTGTCAGCCAGGGACTGACCCTCCGGTAGCCATGATTCCATTATCCTTCCTTCCTTTCTATAGTTTTCAAGGTCTGGAAATACTCCCACCTTTCTATGTCATTTCTGTTTTACTGCTCAGAAAAGTAACCTTTAACATTCAGAGGGTCCAACTGAAGTTAACGCATTTCATAAAAGCTAAAAGCAGTGGGGACTGGCTGAGGGCATTTTGAGAGAAGTTGAAGGTATGAGGTTTGTCCTGAACGTAGTGTACCCTGTTCCAGACTCCAGACCAGTGGTTCCCAATCAGGAGTGACTTTGCTGTTGTCACTACTCAGGAGGAGTGCCACTGGCTTCTAGTGGGTAGAGGATGGGGGGGGGGTTGGAACGATAGTGCTCCACATCCTTCAGTGTACAGCACAGCCCCCCACAACCAAGGATGATCTGGCCCCTGAGTGTTTTAGTGCTGAGGCTGAGAAAGGCGGCTCTAGGCTTCCAGTA